CGGAATCGATCGATGTTTTACATACACTCGTGCTAAAAATTTTGTACATAACATCGCGTTACTTACGAGATAAAAGAACATTTTCCTATCCATGGTAGGAGCACCGTTTGCCCCCCTAAAACAGAAAACCACGATTAAGATTGGCCGAATTTCACTGAGCTTCGCGTAGATCACATCGATGATCCCGACCACGATATTTTACTCCGATCCCCTGTGTCGAGTAATCCGAAAAAGACCTTGCGAGGTGGATCTCCACGCGAGAACTGAGCCACATAGTAGACACGCGATTTTCTTTATACACTCTGGTAGCCAAGTGAAAAATATCGTTCTAAATATTATCCTGTACTCCACCATCAAGAGGATACTTTCATTCGCGACACGCGACCAACGTTGGAAAATTCTTGTCCATTTTTCTGCTCAGGATACTACCGTCCATCGTTAACGGCGCGAGCCGTTCACCGAAAGAAGACGAAAAAGAAGAAGAAGAAGAAGAAGAAAATTTTGATCCATCGCGTTCCACGCATTTGAAATCCGAGAGAAAAAATATTTTCAACTACCAATTAAGTCAATCAGGAAGATATCCACACACGCGCGCGCACACACGCACAAATCGATTCATTTTACTCGTGCTCCGCTCATAAAGTTTATCGCGTCATTTAATCACACGATGGTGAGAAGCTGACGCGTATATTTCGGACAATAATAATTTTTCTCCAACGGAATCGATGCCATCAGATATAAGGAGAATCGTAATTGGATAAAGATTCGCCTCGGACGTGGTCAGTAGTTTCCCCGCTGCGTTTTATGCGCTCTGAAACACACGCATTATGCGCAGCGCGCCACCTCCTCCTAGATGCAACCGGCCTGGCACGATAGAAATGGCCGACGTCGATGATACCGAGCATCTTCTTCTCTGTGTTCGCGACCGCGCTCACAATCGTCACAGTTTAATGCCTCGCGTCTAATTGCTCCGTGCTCCGTGTACGGGTGGAGGAGAGATATTATCGTCGCCTTTCATTGTGAAAACGTGGAATTAAGCGCGCCCTACGCGACCATCGCGCGGGTTTCAGATTGTTCGTCTACGGATTAACAGATAATTAATGCTAATTGCCTTCCTTTCGCGAATATTTCAACGATCTTTTTTCTTCCTTCGACGCTATCTTAAAGAAAAGCTTGGGGAATAATTATTCTTTATAGATTTAGATTTAGATTTCGTTGCGTGTTTATGCATCGAGACAAGTTTGTTGTTTTGATAGCGATGTTGATGTCGACGTCGGTGTTGCGAAGAACGAGTTTCCAACGTCATTCGTTTAGGCGCATTACGAGCTTGCCTTTTTCCACCGCGAGAAAAGTACAAACGAGATATATACCAGGTGTTTTCATTAGAAATTAGACGCGAGTTTTTACTTTTCTCGAATATTTTAGATATTCGACCGCTTTCAGGTTAATTAGATGAGCATGTTGAACGTCTATTAATCACAGAGAGATATTGGGCATTATCGAAGAAATTTTGATGAAGATTGGGAATTGAAAGTAACGAAAAAAAAAAAAAAAAAGATTTTTTTTTTTTCGGGGGGGATTTTTCTTTTTTTTTTTTTTTAGAAAAAAAAAATTTCAAAAAAGAAATTTCTTTTTTGAAATTTTTTTTTTCTAAAAAAAAAAAAAAAGAAAAAATGATCTTTATTTTTTCGCGATGGACTTTTCTTTTTTTTTCTTTTTAGATAAAATGAATTCCAAAAGAGAAATTTCTTTCTTAATTTTCACGGAATTCGTGAAAATATCGCTATCGCAACAAATATAACATCGATCCAGATTTAGAAAGGAAATAAAAGGTGTATTTGCCTCGATGAAAACGTTTATTCAATTAAAAAGATAGGAATGTATACAAAAGCGTAAATCGTTTAGTACCAGATCCTTAATAACTAAGTTTATAAGGTACCTTATTGAAGTGAGAAATTTGGTCAATCAGCAGCAACGATGTGCCAACTCTTCGAAATTTCGAAGGTCCAACTTTATTATTGCACAATCCCGAAATAATCATAAATACTACCAAACAACTATCCTTAAACCATATGTATATATATATATATCAATTACATCTCGTTCTTCTCAATTTCAACAACGCTCCTTACAAAATAATAGATCGCTCTCAGGTACATCTAGATTTTACACCTCTTTGCATCCAAACTTCTCAAATTTTTTTCATCAATTACTTTTGTAACTCGTGAATCTCGGATCGTCAATTATCTGAACGTTCTTCACCTTCTGCCTGCCCCGTGAACCTTCCCCGTAACGACCGTTGACAAAGTCTTTCGAATCTTCCAAATTACTCGTCTCGTAGCTCGATTTCCCCACGTACGAATTCGAATTGTAAGTGGACGAATGACGCGCATCATCCTCGGTCAATCGGATCAGATCCAGGCCAGGAGGATTTTTGTCGATCCCGTACGCTGGACGTTTGGCGAACGATCGTTCCGTCGTTCCAACGTTATAAGAGGAAGGTACGGCCAATTGTTGAATGGTCTTGGCGTACTGGATCAGGTATCGTTGCAACAGAGCCTTCAGATTAATGTTCTGCGCGCTCTTGGTTTGAATAGGGGATGCCCCATCCACTCTGAGTATGATGACCGGTATCAAAGAGTTTCCGGCCTGCACGAAAGTCGGTCTGACGTTCAATATGGACGAAGGATTCCTTATATACTCCGATATGGACGGGTTGTAATTCAACAGATCCGAATATTGCAGGTTCGAGTAGCTGCTCAAATCGTTGTTGTCGAAACCTTTCTTCTCTCCCGTTGATTCTTCCTCGTCCCCCGCCAACACCTTCTCCAGATAACTCTGCACCTTGGGTCCGTACTTGGACGTTACGGAGGCGATAGAATTGGATGACGCGAAGAAAGGCTTGGTGGTGTTGACGCTGGCCTCGGTCGTGTAACTAGCCGTGTATTCGGGGTTGGGGCTGTCCACCATGTATCTGGACAAATTTTGCTGGTAATTGTTGGTGTCGGGCCTGGGCCTGGTCTTGGCCAACGAAGAGGAGGGCGCCTTGTGCCGTTGAGCCAGACTCGCGATCTGCCTTTGGCTCACCAGATTCTGATAACTCAACCGGTACACTTGTTGCTGGGGCAAACTCGTCGACAAGGATTCGGCGGAGATGTACGGGTTTGGCTCTCTGCCCGCCTCCTCGGATATCGCGGGGAATTGCATCGGCCTCTGCGAGAGAATGCTGTTTTCAGACGTCGCCACCGGCGGCCCCCCCATCTC